CAGCTAATGCTTCAATTAATTGCCAAACCGTGGTAATGGACATAGCCTTTGGAAATATGCAAGTCAAACTCCACATTTTCTATGCCACTCAACATCCTTTCGAAGAGGATGATTGTTTCCTTATTGATGTGGTCGATGAAGTGGTTGAAGAATCTCTCCCCTTTATTCTAAGCAAAGATCCTTTAGAAACTTGTATGTCTCATTTTGATCTCTCGAACTTTGATATTGACCAAGCCATCCAAAAAGTGAATGCGCTGCTCAACATAGGTGCTATCATGGACTTTTCCCCTTGGAAGATGCCAAAAGAACCACTTCCTTAACTCTCCACTACTCCTCCGGTCCCTTCTTTGAAATCTCCATCACAACTTGAGTTAAAGCCGCTACCGGCCCACCTCAAGTATGTGTTTCTTGGTGCGAGTCAAACTCTTCCAGTTATCACTGCATTGGACCTTTTAAAGGATCAAGAAATTAGCCTTTTAGCGGTGCTACAAGAGCACAAAGAAGCTATTGGCTGGGCAGTGGCTGATTTGAAAGGAATTGACCCTTCTATTTGTATGCACCGCATTCATTTGGAGGACGAAGCTAAACCTTCTAGAGAGGTCCAGCGCCGGTTGAATCCTAACATAAAGGAAGTGGTCATGAAAGAAGTGATCAAATTGCTAGATGCGGGAATCATCTACCCCATCCCTGATAGCAACTGGGTGAGCCTCACTCAAGTGGTCCCCAAGAAATCCGGCCTTATCGTTGTTGAAAATTCTGCAGGAGAGCTCATGCCACAACGCACCACCACTAGGTGGCATGTGTGCATTTACTACTGGAAGCTAAATTCTACCACTAGGAAAGATCATTTCCCACTCCCATTCATTGATCAAATCCTAGAGAGGCTAGCTGGCCAAAGTTACTACTATTTTCTTGATGGTTATTCCGGTTATAACCAAGTGGCAATTGATCCACAAGATCAAGAGAAGACCACTTTCAGATGCCCCTTCGGAACCTTTGCTTATAGACGTTTGCCTTTTGGGCTATGCAATGCACCGACCACGTTCCAAAGATGAATGATGTCCATATTCTCCGATATGGTTGAAAAGTTCTTGGAAGTTTTCATGGACGATTTTTTCGTCTTTGGCTCCATCTTCAATTTGTGTCTCTCCACAATTTATCCCTTGTGCTTCAAAGATACAAGGAGACAAATCTAATTCTAAGCTGGGAGAAGAGTCACTTTATGGTCCAAGAGGGCATTGTTCTAGGACATATTATTTTAGAAAGAGGAATTGAGGTTGACAAAGCCAAACTGGAGTTAAATTTTTTTTTTTTTTTTCATAATTGGAGTTGTATATCGCTCAAAAAATCAACATGATTACAGGAGCATAGAGGGCATACACTCAGATAAGAGACAAACATAAGAAACTAGGAGCATGGCTTTAATGAAAAAGCCTATTTCCAATACAAAAATACGACCTCAACAAAAGGATTGCTATATAACATCAATAAAATTAATCCTCTGCATATCACAAACTTTCAAAAAAGCAGCCCTTGCCACTGCTTCAATTGAAAGATTAGTAGAGCCATGAAGCCTGCTATTTCTTTCCTTCCAAATATGCCATAACACAGAAGTAAATAGACTTTGTAAATACTTAGAATGTTGATACAATTTATCCATCCAAAGGAACAAATCCCAAATTGTTAAGACCTCCTGGAAATTAAGTAAATTCCAACCCAAGACCTCACCCAACCATTTCCAAACTCCTTGAGAGAAAGGACAAAGAACAAACAAGTGATCAGTAGAGTCGATACTATTATGACAGAGATCACATCTAGGAACCAAACTTATTTTCCTTCTCTGCAAATTGCACATAGTAGGCAATTTATCCAATAAAACCAAAGTAACAATCGTGGACCACCTGGGCCTTGCTTTGCCCCAACATAATTTGAACCAAGGCACTTCTAAACCAGTCAACCTGGTACTATTCCATTCAGATTTGAAGCTGAATTTCCCTTCATTCCACTGCATACTGTCCTCTCCCTCTTTAATACTCATATTCTGTAGAAATAACTTCACTGTTGCGAAATTTCCACCTTGCAAAATATGAAAATTCCAAGCTCCATTCAAAATTAAGGAATTAACCTTGACATCCTATGAAAATGTAGGCTTCTAACAGTTCTGCGACCAAACACATCACTGAAAAATTACCCACCACACCACGGATCCTTGAACAGACTAGTTTAACAGCTATTCCCAATCTGATATGTTATATTTTGCTACACCAAATCTCTAACAGATACCATTGATTTCCATATATTGGAACTGGTTTGCCTAACAACCACAGTCCAATAGTTTGTACCTTTAGCATATCTAAATTGAAACTAAGAAATCCATAATTTGTCTTTACTATTTAAATAGTCCCAAACTAACATACGTCTAGCAGCAACTTGAACATCTGAAAGCTTTGGCAGCCCCAAACCTCCTTCAGCTTTTGGAGTAGTAACATTCTTTCAATTAAGAAGATGGATCTTCTTTGTAGTTTCAATACTTCCCCAAAGAAAGTCATGACATTTCTTCTGAATTTGATTAATAATAACAATAGGAATATCATAGATACAACACCAATATTGGAAAATAGGAGTAATAACAGCCCTTAAGAGCTCCAATCTACCTGAAAGAGAAAGCAGCTTTGTGTTCCAGCACACAATTTTCTTTGTAATTTTATCCAACAGATCCTTACATTGAACCCTCTTTAACCCAACAGGGCATAAAGGTAACCCAAGGTATTTTATGGGGAAACCATCTTCAGAATATTTCAGAACCTGAAGCAACATATGTCTTCTTCTTACAACTCGGGAGAATAACACCCTGCTCTTTCCATGGTTAATTTGAAGTCCTGTAGCAGATTTAAATCTTCTGAAAATGCCTTCCAGAATAGTAAAGTTATGAATTGAAGCCTCACAAGCCAATATAAGATCATCTGCAAAAAAGATATAACTAATAGGCTGTTGATATTTTGCTATAGATTTCAACACCATTAAATCTTTTCTTTGAACTGCATCTGCTACTAAGGTGGAGAACAACTCTGTAATCAAAGTGAACAACATAGGGCCCTCTCTCAGGATGAAAAAAGCCTACTGGAGAGCCATTGAATAAAATAGAGTACCTTGAAGACTAAAAAATAGCATTAATCCAACCAATCCATCTCTCCCCAAAACCAAACTTCTTCAAAGCCGTAAGCAAGCCCTCCCAGGAAACCGAATCATAAGCTTTCCTAATGTCAATCTTCAAAGCCATAACAGGATTCTTAGGTTTATTGAAGTCCCTTACCAATTCATGAGCCAAAATGAATGCTTCTTGGATTTTCTTGCCCTTCACAAAAGCACATTATTCCTTTCCAACAAATTTTGGCAACACCAAAGCTAATCGATTAGCCATAATCTTAGAAATAATTTTATAAACCAAATTGCAAAGTGCAATAGGTCTGAAATCATCCAATTTTGCAGCATCCCCCACCTTTGGAATTAGAGAAATAAAGGAACAACTAATCTCTACCGGCATATTATTTGAAGCAAAAAAGTCCTACACAGCTGCCACCACATCTTTATCCACCACAGCCTAAAAAGTTTGGTAGAATCGAGCAGGAAATCCATCAGGACCAGGAGCTCTATCAGGGGCAAATTTTATTACCACAGCCTTAACTTCTTCATAGGTAACTGGCCCTTCCAACAAATCTTTTTCAATATTGTCTAAGGTATATCTAGGAGTTATATCACACATAACTTCAGAATCACTCCTTGTGAAGAATTTAGTGTAATAGGTCACAAACCAATCACTAATAACCTTTGGATCCACTGAAATTTCCCCTTCATCATTCTCCCTTTTGGTGATTGCATTAAAATTTCTATGCTGCTTTAATTTCTAATGAAAGTAAGCTGTACACCTGTCATTATCCTTTAACCATCGTAATCTAGATTTCTGAGCCACCAAGATTTCTTCATCAGCAACAGTAGCTTCATACTCCTCTCTGGCCTTTTGCTCTTCATCAAGAAGTAAATCTGAAGGATCCTTAAGAATACCCTCTTGAACTGCTTCTAATCTGAGGGTAGATTGAATAACCTTATCTCCCACATTTCCAAAAACATTTTTATTCCACTCCTTAACGGCCTTCTTAACATTCCTGAGTTTATTCAAAAGCCTATTCAGAGGAGCTCCCTCTACCTCAATATCCCAAGCTTGTTGTATCAAAAGTAAAATAGCATCCTTAGCACACCACACTTTTAACATCTTAAAAGGTTTTGGCCTCGAAGCAAAATTTCTTGAAACTTGCACCAAAACTCCATAATGATCAGAGGTCTTTGCCATAGTATAGGAGCACTTGGTTCCGGGAAGTTTGTCTAACCAAACATCATTCAAGAATACCCTATCTAATTTCACATGAATCCTTCATCTCAACCTTTGTCTATTGCACCAAGACCACTCCCCATTTATAGGAGAAAGTTCCAGCATTTTAGCATTCTGCAAACAAAAATTAAATTCATCTAGAACTTTCTGAGGCACTCTCCCACCACCTTTTTTATCCCCATAGAATCTAATTGCATTCCAATCCCCAAGAGAAATCCAAGGACCATTCAGAATAGAAGTATAGTAATTAATATGATTCCACAACTCTAATCGATCCTTCCTTTGATTGGCAGCATAAACAGGTGTACAATAAAACTCTTACCCTGTGTGATTTGCTACAATTTTGAGAAGCAAACATTGATCCTTACTATCTGTGACGGTAACAGTAAACACAACAGGATTCCACCCTATCCATATCCTTCCTCCTACATGTGATCATAATTGCCAATCCAACTCCAGTTGTTCCTTATTCTATTGGAAATATAATCAAACTTATCTACTTTAACTCGAGTTTCAAATAAACAGACAAACTGAAAGGCATTATTTGCTATCCAACCCCTTACCTCTCTTTGTCTTCTAGGCTTATTTAAGCCTCTCACATTCAATGCACCAATCATTGAGTAGAAGGAGAACGTTGAGGCATGAGCCCCACTTGACTTCTGGTCATCCTAGCTGAAGTAGCAATCCCTAGTTTATTTGGTCTCCTCTCAGATTTCAAGCCTTCCTTCTGTCCCAAACTAGGAGTTGTCTCATTACTAGGATCCTCCCCACCAACTGAACTTAACGAAACATGTGTAAAGATTAACTTAGTTCTAGAATCAGAATTCAATCCCAACTGTGTCATATTCTCAGTATCTGTAACAGACTCATCAATAATAACAGTGTCACTCTCTTGGACTTCAATGTTGACATGCTTAGTATGCCCCTCTAAATTCACCACCACTGTATCATTAACATCAGCCACCACAATTTCCTCACTAGCAGTACCAGGAGCTTCATTCTCTTCAAGAACTGCAAAAGCATTTGAAACCTGAACCACCTCATGGATAACTAGAGCCGAGGCTTGAACTGGCATAGTGTCAAACACTTTATCTTCCACAATTTTCTTGCCTTTGTTTTTAACTACCCATTTGTATACCCCTTTCTTTGATTTCGTATGCAGAACTTTTGTAGGGCATCTATCTTCCAAGTGATCAACTTTCTTGCAAATATCACATAATGTGGGCTTCCATTCATATTCTAAATCAACAAAGCAATCACTGCCATGAATATCTACTATAGTAGATTCTGGTAACACCTCTTTAACTCCCACTTCAACCATAACTCTAACATAATCACCTTTATCTCTGTGTAATTCTGGATCGTCCATATATATAGGCTTTGAAAAGTTAGAACAAACTTTAGACACAGTCTCAGCATCATGGCAATATACCGGAAGATTATGTAATCGCAGCCAAACAGGAACCGAGTCCAATACTTCCTTCAAGAGATTAACATTCTTGTCCCATTGCTTGATAATAATGGGTTGACCTTCAAACGTATGAATCCTAGACAAAGTCTGCATGACCTCTTCTTCCGATTCAAACCTAACAATGAAGAAACTATCCTTCAAGTAACAAACTGTGACTTTATTTGCCCATCGTTTCTCGGCATAGCCCTTAAATCTATGATAATAAGGTCTTTTCCCCATAACATAACCTATCACAGAATTTTTCCAATACTGTATTTCTTTCGCGACATCCGATTCTAAGATGGAAACCTTTGTACCACGAATCTCATTGTGGTATGTGAGGTTAGTAAACGGTTTGGAAGAGTTCTTAGAGAACAAATTACGCTAAAAAGATGGCGGTGGAAGAGATGAAGAAGGATAAGAAGAAATAACATTAGAAGAGAGAGAGAGAGAGAGATGACTGGTTAGGGTTAAGAGGCCGGTCCAGAGAGATCACCGGTAAAGGAGAGAAGGGAACCCCATCCTCCATATGGCACCACCCTTCGAAACCCTAGAAGGAAGAATCGCCTTTTTCTAGAGAGAAATTTCAATTATAGTTTCTCCATCATCCCATTAATTAAGTGGAGTTAATTTCTAATCTTCCTCCTCCAAATTTCGTCCATCAAATCCGTTCCTTCGTTGTTTATGCCAGATTTTATCGTTGCTTCATCAAGGATTTTAGTAAAATCTCTTAGCGCTTGTGTAATCTTCTTGCCAAGGATGCTCCGTTTGATTTTGATGAAGCTTGTATGGAAGCTTTTATAACACTTTGCACTCTTCTCTTATCCGCCCCAATCATGAAACCGCCTAATTGTTCTCTTCCATTTGAGATCATGTGTCATGCATCTGATTATGAATTAGGTGCAGTTTTGGGCCAGCGTGTGGACAACCTTCCACATATCATCTATTATGCTAGCAAAACTCTCTCCGATGCCCAACTCAATTATACCACCACTGAAAAAGAATTGCTAGCTGTGGTTTATGCCCCGGATAAATTGTATTCTTATCTTCTTGGATCCAAGGTTATTATCTTTTCGGATTATGCCGCCCTTAGGCATTTGCTCGCAAAAAAAGAGACCAAGCCCTGCCTAATTCGATGGATACTCTTACTCCAAGAGTTTGATATTGAAATCCGGGATAAAAAAGGAACCGACAATGTTGTCGCTGACCATCTCTCTTGCTTACTCATTGAGAAATCCTCTGAATTTGTTGCAGTCCGAGACTCATTTCCAGATGAGCAACTATTTTAGATTTCCCACTCAAGTCTCCCTTGGTTTGCGGATATTGTAAACTATCTTGCAGTAAGCAAAATTCCGTCCAATTGGTCCAAATAAGAGAAAGACCGATTCTTCTCCCAAGTCAAAAATTTCTTTTGGGAAGATCCAGAGTTGTTCAAATGTTGCCCGGACCAAATCATCCGACGGTGCATCCCTGAAACCAAAACCACAAGTGTCATAAATTTCTGCCACACTCTTGCTTGTGGGGGACACTTTAGTGCCAAAAAGATCGCTGACAAAGTCCTCCAAAGCGGATTTTATTGGCCCTCCTTGTTTCAGGATGCTTACAACTTCTGTAAGTCATGTGAGTGATGTCAAAAGCTCGAGTCCATGTCCCAAAGAGACATGATGCCCCTCACTCCCATCCTAATTGTTAAAATTTTTTATGTTTGGGGGATTGACTTCATGGGACCATTTCCATCTTCTTATGGCTATGAGTATATCCTTGTAGCGGTGGATTATGTTTCCAAATGGGTTGAGGCTGAGCCTACCAAAACCAATGATCACAAAGTCGTGATCAAGTTCATTCAATCCAACATTTTTAGTTATTTTGGTACGCCCCGAGCAATCATTAGTGACGGTGGATCTTATTTCTGAAATCGTTATCTCAAATCCGTCCTTTCTAAGTACTCTGTCATTCACAAGGTTACCACACCTTATCACCCTCAAATGAGTGGTCAAGTGGAAGTATCTAATTAGGAGATTAAGCATATCTTGGAAAAAATGGTTCGCCCGGACCTCAAAGATTGGTCATTAAGACTAAACGATGCGTTTTGGACCTATCGGATAGCTTACAAGACGCCTATTAGCATGTCACCATATCGGCTTGTCTTTTGCAAAGCATGTCATCTCCTAGTTGAACTAGAGCATCGTGCTTATTGGGCCATAAAAAGGCTCAACTTTGATCTCCAACAAGCCGGCTCTACTCGTAAATTGCAACTTAATGAGCTTAAGGAAATTCAAAATGATGCGTATGAAAATGCCAAAATCTATAAGGCAAAGACTAAAGCTTTTCATGACGAGCACATTATCCATAAGTCTTTTGCCTCTGGACAAAAAGTTTGGCTTTTCAACTCTCGCTTGAAGCTCTTTCCCGGTAAACTCCGTTCACGGTGGGATGGGCAATATATCATCACTTCCGTCTTTCCTTATGGTGCAGTCGAACTCCAAGATCCTACCGATGGATCTCTCTTTAAGGTTAATGGCTAACGGCTTAAGCTTTATGTTGATGGCATAGTCCCTATCCACAAAGTAGAGAAAGTCCTATTAACGGACCTAATTTATGAGAACTAATGCGCGATCTTGGTTCGTCTAGCTATCGACGTAAAATTTAGCACTCATGGAAGCAATTCTTCCATCTTCTAAGCTTCCCCCTTCTAAATGTCAATTGCCAAGGATTTCTCAAAAATTAGCGAAGTTTTACCAAAATGTGCATTCTTCCAGAATTATCCCATCTAGCGTTCCGGCGGTCACATTCAATTTTCTTTATCATTTTCAGGTCTTCATACCATTTCTGGATGTATTCATGGTCATTTAGGCATTTGTCTCTTCTAATCCAAAGTTTCAATGGCATTTGGATCTCATACCTGTCACTTATGAACTTGCACGCCTAATCCAGTTTTGGCAATTCTCCAAAGCGCTTAAGTTTATGATTTATTTCCTCGAGATCACGTCCCGAGCCTGGACTGCTGAATTAGGCTGCACAAGCAGCATCTGAAAAAGCCTCGCGGGCGCCCGCGAAATTGCCCAATAGACATCAGGCATCAACAGGGCCCCGCCGTGCCTCGCGGGCCCCCGTGAAAATGGTCAGTGGGCTCCCGTCGATCCGCGAGCCCCCGCCACTCCCCCTCACTGTGTTTTAAATGGGCTTTCAAGCCCATTTTACTCCTTATTACTCCTCCTCTCCCTCTTAACCATCACCTACAACCTCTTTAACCCTCAAAAACCTCTTACTCTCTCATCAATTTCTCCCATCTCTGTCCAATCCATCCCTCTCATCCCTCATCCCTCACCCCTCTTCATCATTCTCTTCACCTTTCACTCCCTCATCCTTCAGACAGAAAGGGATTTTGTTCCACCAAGTTGGGTAAGTCTTTTCCCCTTTCTTTTTCTTTAAATTTTCGGATCAAGGAGGTTGGGACTCTCTTTGTGGAGGATTGGTAATTGTTGGGTGATAATTGCGTGTCCATTACAGGTTAATTTTTGGGACTTTTACATATCTAACCTTATTTTGCCCCTCTTCCCAATCTTTGTGCACGCCAGGTGTTTGTCGAAATTCCTGAACCAACTTTCTTCATTCCAATGGCTCCTAAAGTTGCTTCTAAGCGTGCTCGCTCGTCCGAGGGCCCTTCTAATATGCCTCCAACTCCAAATTGGGTTGAATGGCCAATTGTCCCCGAAGCAAAATTGAACATTGAAAATGATTTTGAGCAAAATCAAGAGACGACATGGTTAGTCCGCGAATTGAGGGTACGAGGCCTCGCATCGCTTTCCAAGCCACGCGCTCATGCCTACTACCCACGCGTGGTCCATCTGTTCTACGCAAACCTGTTCCTTTTATGTGCGGAACCGGACATCATCAAAACCACCATTGATGGCGACGTTTATGAATTTGGCCTGGATGACCTTACTATGGCTATGGATTGTCCATTGGCTTCGCCGGTGAATGAGGCGGGCTTATCTCTTTATGTTGAACCATCGGCTTGGCTTTCTTTGGCGGACATTGTGGGAGATATTTGTCACGGTCAATTTACCAGCAATCGAACCACAAGCACTAATAAATCCTTCTTACCATGCCGGCTGTGGTTTCTTGATTCGGTCCTGGCCAAGAACGTCCTTCCTGTGCCAAGCCATTCCAAGCGTAAGGGGGATTTTCTGAAAGCCCTCTATGCTGCTGAAAAAGAGTATTGGTTTTGCATCCCACAGCTTGTCTGGGACTAAATTCTCAAGATTTACAATGAGTTGATCGTGGTGAGGTCCAGCAGTACCACCACTTGGGCATTTCCATTTCCATACCTTATCACCAGGTTACTTAAAGATGGGTAGTTTAGAGCACCTCGTGGTGAGGTAAAAGAGAAGACTGTGTTTGACTTCAACCTCAGGATCTGGAAGTCTGGTATAGTTCAGCTTAAGACGTTTCATCAGGCCCGCATTAGAGACGACTTGGATTAGGGTGCTCCGGCTCCTCTTGTGGCTCCTGCCCCTACTACTTATGATACCCTCGCTGCTCCAGCTACCCCTGTTGCTCCGCTGCTGGATGTCATGACCCGTGCTGATTATCTTGCCCTCAATGCTCATCTTGATGCGTTTGACATGCGCTTTGACAAATTAGAGGGCACCATTCGGAAAACTCAAGAGAGCCAGGAGGTTTTACAGGTTATGCTCCAGCCTATTTGGTCATTTTCAACCTGAGAAAGGATTGAGAAAAGGTTGCCCATTGTCTCCCTTACTTTTTACCCTCATTACAGATTACTTCTCTGGCATGGTAGAGACCAGTGTTAGGGAAGGGAAATTATTCAGTGTGAATATGCTAAAAGAGTAGGTATGAAAACTACTCATCAGTTTTTTGTAGATGATTTATTGTTTGTGGTCGGAGCCAACATGGGATCAATGTTAAATCTCAAGAGAATTATGAAGGACTTCTCTAGTTTATCTGGTTTGAAGGTCAATACAAAAAAATCTGAACTTTATATGTCCAGAAGTGTGAGAAGGAAAGCTTCAATTTCCAGAATTTTGGATTGTAAGATAGGTAATCTCCCATTTACTTATCTAGGACTTCCAATATCAGATAGAATGCTTCAGAGGGCAGACTGTGCTAAGCTTTTAGATAAAGTTAATGCATCTATAACTAAGTGGAAAGGGTTTAATATTTCTTTGGCCGGTAGAGTGGAGCTTTGTAGAGCAGTTATTACTCCTCTTATATAT